GCCTGATGATGGTCATGTATGCCCGAAACATGTCGCAGTAAATTCAGATCTAAATGCAATACGGAAATATTTGTTGTGTTGACGGTAGCATAGTTCCTACATATTGCAAGCAGCACTATGATTCACGCTTAGAACATTTACATGCTGTGTATTGTACATGTGAGAGTGGAGGTTTTTTTTTGTTTTGTTATATAGTCCCATTTTATTTGCAGTCTGTACTAATACATTCAGCAAACTCTTATGGTGTACATGACTTCAAGAGGAGAGCTCATTTGCACTCTTCTTTAGTGAGTAGGCTTGAGGCCTCGTGTGACTTTTGGGGGAGTGCTTACTATCTAGATCTTTAATCTAGAATTATTGGTATACTATTGCAATGGATGCATTGTTGTAAATGTGTGGTCACGTGTATTCTATAGTTAAGAGTAAATTAGGAAGAGGTATTTTAAATATTCTTTCGAAGCTGTGGATTGGTTCGCAGTGTCTAGCCAGCGCGTCACGTAGACTAAACAAATTACTGTGTGGTCTTTTCCCCCACCCCACATGTGAGTTGTACGGATCCCCGATTGTTTGTGGTATGAGGCCCTGGGTGGCGAACCGGGAACGATTTGAATGTGGGGTCTGGCGGCGCAGGGAGGTCGCGTCGTAGGCTTGCAGAGCAGCACTGCGAGTGAGCGGGGTTATAGCATCCTTTGGGAGAATTCTTACATTGCCTGTACAGTTCTTCAAATATTCATTATTTTCATAATAAAATACTGTTCGGTATAGCTTTTCTGTTGCCATACATCGAATCAGCTTACCGCTCGGCGAAGCTGAGTATACCTGAAATACTTGGATGCAACATGTGTTTGCATTTCTTTAAAGTATCATGTTCACTCTTCGTTACGCCGTGACAAGCGCCACGTCACCATCTTGCAGACTCCATGTTCACGAGGACAACACATCGCCGAAGAAGCAATGTCAGCCGCAGTAACAGATTCAGTCGATTCGTGAGCATGCAGTAATTTCATAGTCACTCCATCTTTGAATTCAGTGATAGGGATCTTCCTGCTGCAGACATCCTTGTGTCTTGTACTGCTGCGGGAAGCGTATCAGTGACAATTTCGCCGAACCGTTACATCCGACGTCATTCGGTCAGAGACATCTGTGAATGACTTTGATGTGTTACAGTCGATTATTGCTTCAGGTTTCTTGCTTCCTTCCCCAAGAGCAGCATTTAGCACTAAGACGTCCAGTGTATCCTTACACCTGAGTACTGCAGCTCCCATGTTGCTTTCCTTTGTCATCCTTTATCATCACTTCTGCCTGCACAAAATTATTCGGGTTTAGTTTCCTGCAGGGTCTGAGGGTGCCAGCCAAATAATTTGAGCGCTGAAAAGGTCGAACCCGCGACCTTCCGGCTTGTAGCATAGTGCCTCATCCATCGACGTATCATATAATTAGACCCGTACATCTGTCATGTAATACTAGTTTCATTTAACGACACTGTGCCAGCTACAGATGCTACGTAGTCGAACGAGATGGGCGATTACGAATTTGGAGCTTCTGGTAGTTCAGAGCGGATTTCTTCTGGGAAGCTTTTAGTGCCACAGAGAAATGATTCTGAGAAAAAAAAGACAGCTGTTATCTCCTTAACTAGCATTAACCCACTGGTCTTTGTAAAGGTAATGCCGTATCATTTTTGTGAGGTATGAACTGCGTGTTTAGTCTACTTCCCTTATTTTGAAAACATAAAAGTAGGCTTATGCTATTTCCATGCTGTCTGTGTATTTCCCCCACCCCACCCATCAACTTCTGAGTGCCTGAACCAATCTTTATGTATGTACATACGTGTACATAATGGCACTTGAGCTAGTCTCAACGGCGTTCTTCATAAATCCCTCCCTTCAGTCTCTGTGTGTATTCCCTATCGTTGCCAGGCAGTAGATCGGTAGAAACGTTACCACGTCAATGAATACACGGAAAAATAAAAGAGTTGTTGGGCGCGACGGTTTCTATTCGATCCGTGCCGTATGAAAGGAAAGTAGATTAGTTTCTCTCAGAATTTTTGTTAAATATGATATTATGAATTATTGCAATCCATATTAATGTTTTACCCCCATCTGCTGGGTGCACGCGGTAGCGTAGTTGGTTGAGGCACTATGCTACAAGCCGGAAGGTTGCGGGATCGAATCCCGATGAGGTCATTGAATTTATTTTCAATTTATCTAATCCTTCTAAACGCACTATGGCCCTGGGGTCGACTCAGCCTCTAACAGAAATGAGTACTAGGAATATTCTTGGAGGTAAAGGGCGGCCGACGCGTAGTGCTGACAACCTTACCCCCGTCTACTTCTAGGTTATCTCCCCGTCACTTGTTTCATATCCCGCCCCTTCCGTCCCGTTCCATATCACGGGCCAAATAATCTTTCGTAAAGGTTACAAAAAACAAGAAGCCTGTGACATACATATACGTTTTCATTAGGGGAGGGCGGGTAAATGGCGGTCTCCTGAGTTAAGACGAAAAGTACGATTTTACGCAGACTTGAAAACGTATAAGAACTGGAATTCAGTGGGAAGGATGTGCGCCTTAAATATGCAATGTGAGGAACACTCGACATAACAGCAACTCTGCAGGAGCAGCGACTGACCGATATTCCCCACCCCAAGGCACTACGACGGTCACTCTCTGAGCTCCGTGATATCACGATGGTGGAATAATATGCATTTTGTTGGTAAGGAACTAGCATATAGCTTAGCTTACAAGATGTGTGCACATCTGAATTCTTATAATTGAAACAAACTTCACTCGCCTCTGCAAGAACAAATGGCGGAATTCGCTGTTGCACTTCGCCGAATCACGCCACAGGTGGCAGCACTAGCAGAAAGCGTCACTCTGATCACGTGTCTCTGAAAAGTACTGCCCGGCATTACCCACTGACGTCCATCCCCCCGTTCTGTCCTACAGTTCGCTATTATTAGGTAATTAATCTTCGCGTTTTCATAAAATCACTGTTCGGTTTGCCATAATCTTTGGGGTCTGTTCAGAAAGCCATTGTTGATTGTTCGCTAATATTCACGTGTTTGGAAAGTCGTTCTGCATTTTTAGGTAGTATTATCGTGTGTTCGAAAACCCTTGTTCATTGTTTTGCAATCTTTGGGCGTGTTCGAAAAGAATGTTGATTCTTGGGTACTCATCTCGTGGGCTTGGAAAATTGTTAGTTCGGCAGTCCTCTCTCATTCGTCGCAGGATGTACAAGTTGCGAAATGTATCCATAGCGTAACGATTCTCTTTCCAGTTACCTCCAAACCAGTGGTGAAAAAAGCGTTATTCGACACAAGAGGTTTATTTTTTTTTGCATATTTTTGCAAAACATCTATTGTGATAGGTATTTGCGATATACGCGCCGAAACGCATGTAGATATTCATGTAAAGGGCCCGTTATTGTTGTCCGATTTTAATAAAATTTGGTATGTTTCTACTAATGTTATATTTTAGCGTCCTGTTGCACTGATTCATGTCCATGATTTATTCTGACCGTCCTNTTTCATGTGTGTATTGTGCTTTGTGTTGTGTCTTGCTCCTGTGACTGCGTGTGTTATACGACATAAGGTTGACAAATCCAGAACAATTTTAATATTTAAAGTTTATCATTATATATGACGAATATATATTTTAGTCATTTTAGTATAAAGACAACAGGGCATGCAATGAAGTAGTTTGACGTACATAGAAAAGCATCTGAAGATGGCACTTAGTGCCGAAACATGTAGTGCAAGAGAGAAGAGTAAGGTGAATAAATGTATGCACTGTAAGACGGTCAGAATAAATCATGGACTACTAATTTTATTAAAACTCTCATAATATCAAATTTAACGAAAATCCATTCAGTTCTGCCGTTGTTTCATGCGCACGCATGGCTGGGACGAGTTTAATTGACCCTCCACAGGGCTGCAAACGCGACTGAAACTCAAACAGGCGAGAGCCGTCCGGCCTCTGGATCCTGTGTGCTTTAGCGGTTCTGCAAAGTAATTATCACCGTTGAAAAACATGCGAGCGGTGTTTCGCGTGCACCGTGCTACTGCGTCGCGTTACTTACATATCTGGCCACAACTTCATGACGTCAGCGTAGCCCAGTCCCATTTTTTGTTGCCTTCTCTTTAATGTAAAATATTTATAGGTACCTCACACTTTCATCTTCTTTGTGCTCCTTCAAATTGCCGTCACTTTGATCGTGACATTTTGTGCAATACGTGTGCATAATAATGTACGAGTATTCTGTCTTTTAGAGGAGAACGTATATAGAACAAGGGCGGTGATGACGTTAAGCTTTCCCTTTGCCCTTCATACCAGGACAAACTAACTCCATGTAGCTGAGCCCTTCTTGAGAAGCCACCAGTTTTGTAGCTATACAAGAACTTTCGAAATGATGTGAATTAACCGAAGACGCACGTAGTGAGCGCCGCCCAGGTCCTGGATAACTTCCACACAAGAAACTGATGCGCCATGGTTTCTTCTTGGTAGACCGCACTGACTTTCTGACTTCAACAGGATTCAGGTGTTAACAGTGGGTTTCATAAAAAGTAAATTTGCCCCTGTACTTAATTACAGTAGCTAGGCACTGTGCCACAAAGACATAAGGGAGAATGGAGGTATAGCTCCACCATTATGAACCTTGGCATAGATGGAGGTGCATGGTCAGTTTCACGCTCCTGCCGCTTTACCTCCGGGGAAGGAGCCCTCGGCACTTATTGGGTAGGAAGCTGAGTGGACTCCAGGGCCGGTCTGGACGCTGTGGAGAAGAGAACAATCTTGCACTGCCGGGAATCGACCCCGGGCTGTCCAGCCCGTTGCCTGCCGCTATACCGATTACGCCATCCCGAACCCTCAGTGGGTTTCATAGTAAATAGTAAATGTAATGTTAAGTTCTCTGCTGTATGTGTGTTAGTTTTCAGAGCACCGGCGATGAGTAGCATGTTGGTGGAATGAGATGTGAGGATAAATTCTGAAATTGATGGTCCAGATGCTGGCGCTGCCGGGGCCGAGGGTCATGGACCGGCTGAGCCATGAGATGGCGGCGAGGAGGGACCGCCAAGTGAGGCTTCACTCTGTACAGACAGATCTGGAGTTGGACTTGCCGCCCAACATTGCACTTCCTGATGGTGAGGAAGTTCCATATGGCAGTTCCATGCGTCTGCAGATACGTGATAATGAACAGGTACTCCTTAGACATGACTATAACCCTTCTTGGAAAACTAGTAACTGTTCAACTAGGCGAGGAAATAGAAAATGGAACCTGAAGATTGATTCCTGTGTTTGCAAAAGCCTCACACCCTCACACCATAGATTTATTGTCACCCTTTCTGTCCCAAGTTATTTTGTTATCTTAGTTTTCTCGTCCTCCTCAGCCTCCTCTTCTATGCATTTAACCTCCCTTTTCCTCAGTTAAATCACTATGAACCAAAGTTAAATTCTGTGAAGTCATAATGTAGGTGCCCCATACCGAATTCCGTTGCATTCCATTACATAGTTTCGAACACAACATGTGGATGGATAGACTGATGTAAGTGCACATTGTTCTCTGAATGTTTTATATCACGTAGTTTGTGCAACCAAAAGATACACCATGTACTTATTAACTGCATTATATAATGCTTGAAACTTGTGTGGATTGTAAATACTTGATATTGTTACTAGATGCTCAGTGTCAGTAGAGTATGCTCAGTACTTCCATATTCGTCTGCGTTCCAGCAAGTATGGCAGAGAGTATGTCTTAAATTTTTGTTGTCTAGTGTACTAAAAACCATTAACCATTTGAACAGAAATGAATAGATGATTTTTTGTGGCTTTCCTATTACTTTTGCATTTAGAATATTTTAAGTTCTTGAACTTAGGAAAATGTTCAAATTTTAAAGTGATTTGAATACATGAAGTCCATTATATTTCCAGCTGAATTCTAATAGTCTGTGAGAATCAGTACTGTTGTATATTTCTGATGTGATTCAGAATTCCCTATCACAATTATGCTAAATACAATAACTATGAGTATGAGCCCAGTCAAACATACAAACTATCCTTACTTGAAAGAGGAGATGGATGGAGGACATACCATATGTGGTATGCAAGAGATACATACAAAGATCATGGGAAAAGATCGAGCAGGAGACAGATGTGAAAGAAAAGTAAGAAAAAAAAATTGTTCCTGTGCCTAATTAATTGAGCACAATGCCGTGAAGACGTTGGGATATAGCTCCATCATTCTTCACCTCGCCACTAGATGGAGGTGAGCGGTCAGCTTCAAGCCCCGGCCGCTTTACCCCTGGGGAAATCGTCCCCGGTACCCATTGTATAGGAGGATGGACAGGCCCCAGAGCCCGTTGCTATGCTGACATAACTATCCTGACACCTAGATTTAGGGAGATCCTAGAGGAATGGGATATGAAGACGTAAACTGCATTGAACTGAGCTGTGATGAAGCTTTGCTTTCTGTGTTAACACAGAATGTCTTCAGGCTCTGAGGTTTTCGTGTCAGTGAGTGTTCAGATTCTGGTCTTCTGGGTTGTGACACCATGTGGTCTTGCTCATGTTTCAGAGGAACATGAAGCAAGCTTCTGTGACACAGACTTACTGTTCATCATTCCTATTGGTCTCCTCTCCCCCATTCATAGGTCTGAGTGACCACGTTCCATGCCTTGTGCCTGTATAACCTAACTGCATCCTTACCCTACTTGCTTCAACCATTAATATTTTCTTTTTGAGACTGTAGCATTGGATGATAGCATGACTGATGAATTGGAAAGAAGTGCCCATGGCCTAATTGAGGGACTATTGTGGCATTTTCACAGAGGGACTAAAGAAAACCACTTAAAACTGTCAGCCTTAATAGCCAGTATCCTGGGTCTGATTCCAGCCAAGTAGCTCCTGAATGCAAGTCTACGGCATTACCACTAGACCATCCTGTTTGATGACCCTGATGATGGAGGCAGCTCCTCCAGAAAATTAGTATCTACCTACAAAGCACCATAGCTCAGGCAATTAGTCGCTGGCTTCCCACTGCCGCTGCCCGGGTTCGATCCAGGGTCTGGTCAAGTTGGATTTGTGGTGGACAAAGTGGCGCTGGGGCAGGTTTTCTCCGAGTACTTCGGTTCCCCTGCCAATCTTCATTTCACCAATTGCTCCACAATCACCCTCACCTATCATCTGGTACAATAGGCCAGAAGTGGCCACAGTACAAGGGACTTAGTCCCACTCTACTAGCAATAATAAAATCTACCGACAAGACTACATGGTGTCACATCCCACAAGACAACGGTGTGAAAGGAAAAGGAATAATGTCTTGTTCAGACGAATCTGTTATACTTCATGTATCATGATATCAGAGAGTTATTTTATTAGACAACAGCAAACTGTATTGAAATTACACTGCAATATTTTCTGCACTTCAGGAGAGCGAAATCTACCAGAAGTGCATCCGGCCACCACCAAACCGCACAGTATTTGACGGTGAGTCCCCACCGCCATACCGGACAAGTTCAGCAGGTGTACTTGGTAGTGGGGATCCTGGAGACTGGTCGAGTGGGGGCTGTAGCACAACACGTGTTGTACGATGTCACAGTGTGTCAAGTGGTTCTTCAGCTTCACGGAGCACACACGCCCCTTCTGTCATTGTACCTACAGGCTCCCGCCGTCTGTCCTCTTTCTCAGACTCGAGTGGGGGAGGCGGTGGTGGTGCCCTTGCAAATCTCACCATGGTCCCATGTAATGCAGAACCAAGCCGGCTAGCAAAACCACCTCCACCCCAGCATGGGGCTGTCTGACCACCGTGTGGCCACAACTGGCCGCCCCCACCCCCAGGGGCTGTCTGATTATGTGGCCCAGTTATTTCAGAGAACGAAAACAAATACAGTGATGGTGACTTAAGTCTTTCAGCTGTTGATTTTTAATTCTGATCCCTGGATCATCATAAAAGCAAATGAGTATTTCTGCTCCAAAAACTGCAGTTTTTATGTTTTATTGTGGTTGAACTGTCAGCTGCTGGAGCTGATCATAAATTCGGCATTATCAGAACATTACTCTTGCTGTCTGAGTTGAGAACACAGTGCAACCGAAATGAATCAACAGTGTACAAAACTCCCATCAAAATAGTTTAAATTATTTTTTTGAAAGGGGGGGGGGAACAAGAATTGTTAGTATTGTTCCATTGTGTGCACATCTCATACAGTGTCCATGCATAATTGCCTTCATGACACAGATCAATACCATGCAGTATTTTTCGCCATTTGCAGAAATCTTATTTTCTCCTGCAATGATAGCCTTTCACATCCCTAGCACGATAATGAATTTGCTGCTATCCGGGTATAGTTGTACAAAATTATAATCCTACAGTGAACTGAACTTACACAGTAGTTTCTTAGAGATGAGGACAGCACACACACACACACACACACACACATGTATATATACACACACACACTTCAGGATGTTATGTGATTAGAATAAAGTTTTTTCTGTGATTCTTGGTCTCAAGAAAAGGTTAACTTCGAGTCAGGTAGGAACTTGAATGTCAGAAACGAATATGTCTGTGGCACTGCAGTAATGGAACAATATACAAGTATACACTGTTTACACTCAGTTCCAAGTAACATTGTCCAGCGTTAGCTAAAAACGCAAGCGTATGAATCGTGTGATATAAGTTAACCCAGTTTCTTCAGCCAATATAAAAATGCTTGTGGTTTTATAATTTAATGTGGACATCTCTTCAAAGAAGAGCAGTGAGTGGAATGTACAATGTATATCAGTAATTAGGGCGGTGCTTCTCAACCAGGGGTCCAAGGGACACTGCCATTCTGTAATGTTCATATTGCAGGTACCTGAAATTGGTGGTAATTGTGTGTTGTGTCTAGTATGAAGTTCAAGTGACCATGGCCTCAGGCCTACTGATGCAGCTGCACTCTGAAACACGTGCCGATCACCAAGGGGCACAATGCAGACCATGTCATACTGGGGGTAAAATAAATTAAATAACTTCTGTTTACTTCCTTCAGTGTGGTATATAATGAACTGAAGAGTCACATTATTATTATTATTATTATTATTATTATTATTATTATTATTATTATAGTATAGAATTAAATTCCTGAACTATATATATATATAAATTACTTCAGGGAAAGTGCCCGAACTAAAAAAGCCTGGTTTCCAATAGGTTTTATAACCTCAACGTTTCCTTTTGAGGCTTTCCCTCATTCTGTCTGTTATGAGACCCCCCCCCAAGTGCTCTCATCTTTAGAGCCAGAATCAGTCCCAACTCCCACTCCAAAGGAAACATACACACACATGAAATACGGGTGAATCCATGAGTCTTTCGATAGGAAACCAGTCTAAAATTAATGAAGACCTAACACCTTCTGCAGGGTGTCTTTGTAATTGCCCAGGTGACTAAGGATTTCGTGCTGTATTCCTGCATCTCTTATTAGGCAGTGCCTGGTGATCTCTGTTCTGTTTATAGAGTCTTGCTAGTTCCTTTATTTAATAATAAAACATGGAAGGAAATTTAAATTTGTCAGGTGAAAGATGTAAATATGAACTCTGCTTTGGCAAAAGTGCCTAATTCTTAATGTGTCGGTTTATTTCTGAGAGAGACCTTCAAGCTGCTAAGCTAACATTCCTGTCAGTTCTCTGTTAAATGTAATACTGAAGATTCAGATAATGTTTGAATTTCTGTGAAACATTTCATGCACTTAAAGAACATGGGAAAAGCTGTGTGACTGAAATATTAGGTCTTGAATGTACTTCGATGTAACTATGCCTTTTTTTTTTATTGCTAGTGGTGTGGGACTGAGTCGCTTGTACTGCGGCCACTTCTGGGCTATTGTACCATAACTATGCCTTACTCACAGTACAGATAAATTAACTTCAGCTTCTGGTCTTTCTAGAAATCTTTACAAATTTGAAGTCACTGGGCCAAATTAGTCTTAATTTAAGTATTTGTATATAAATATGATTTTAAATATGTTTTGTAATTTTAATTTTATTTATGTTGGTTAAAGATATCAAGAGTTCAATGCAAGTTTTTAATTCTTATAAGATACTGTAGCAGCATAATTAAATATCAATAAATATGATATAAATATCAATAAATCAGTAAATACCATCAGATTACAACATAAAATGATATTGTTTTTGCTCAATACCCTGATATGTTTTTACTCTCAGAGAGCCATCATTAGGGATGTTCTGTTAAGCAGTAGTTTTAGTACAGTTCTACTCAAGGTTTCTGCAAGAGTTATCATTCACCCTAAAAACTTAACAAATAAGAACAGGTTCAGTACAATGTAGTAATACTGTCACATGTTAAGTGACGATGGATGGGTTTTGGATTAGTAGCTGGATTTATTGGACACTTCTACAGCTTGTGACTACACTTAGCAGATCACTGTCACACACAGTCACGTTGCTTGTTAGCAGCTTCCAACGACAGATTTTCCTGTGCTTCCAGGCTCACGTCCTTGCATGCTGGCAAGCATCTCAAGCCAGCCTCATACTCTGACCACTGGCTTCAGACGGACCGCATAGAAAACACCTCTTCCAACAGTTCCTCCATTGTTGCCTGCATATGTTGCTTATCGATGGCTCTGGTATTTTTGCATGTTTATACAGCCACCGTCTAGCAATGGCTCTATCTCTGGCATTACAATTCTTATATTTGGCATGTGCAATTCATACATCATAATCTTCTTTAAATTGTTATGTATATTATGTACAGTCCATAACAATTTGTATAAAAATATTGAATTGCCTAAGATGTCAGTCCCATATTTACCCATAAATAGAATGGCTTCTTCCCTTGTATTGTGTAAGGTTGTTAAGAATGTGTTAGGATCCTACCTTCAGCCTGGTTAGTATTAAACAGTCTGATATTAACAGACTAGTACTAAACTGTTTGAGAGGCAGGATAGCACAACTGGTATAGTGACTGGCTACAGGCCAGATGACTAAGGGGATGGAGTTCGAGTCCTGGTGGGGGCAAGAATTTTCAATTCTTCATGTTGTCATGGAGCCCACCCAGCCTCCTGTCCAGTGACTACCAGGGGATCTTTCCCTTGGGTGTGAAGCTGACCACTCACCTCCAACTAGTGCTGAGGTCAAGAACACATGGGCCTATACATCCACTCCTCTGTACGTCTTCATGGCATAGTGCTTAATTAGTTAAGGCCAGGGATAACAATTTTACTAAACTGCTTAATACTCTGGTAGGATCCTAATAACCTCATTCACAAGAGGCAAAAGCCATCCTATTTGTGGGTCATAAAGGGAATACCATCTTAGGCAACACAGTAATAGACAAACAGCAAAATATATTTATACAAATAATTATGGATTGCTCACAAGAACTGAAAGACTTATAAAGTATAAATTGCACATGTCAAATATAAGAATTTAGTGCCTGTAATAAAAGTTATGCAGTCAGTATAACATATCAGTATGGTGTACAATACATGTTTCTGTTAAGTTTTGAGAATGAATGAACAATCTTCAGTGATTGTAATAGAAGTACTAGTTAACAGAACACCCCTGATTACAACTGTCTGAGAGTAGAAACATTTTGGGATATTGGGTAAATAAATATTATTTTATGCTGTAATTTGATGATGTTTATTAAAATTACATTAAATTATAATACAGCGATACACAAACAAGTGTGAATATACCAATAAATCTGTTTCATGCAGCTGAAAATATATGATTTTATTCCATAATGGTGGTTATAGGATACAGCAGTTACCGCTATATGTAGTACTACTACATTTTCATTTACTTTATAATGTCATTGTTAGGCTTTTGTAGCCTGCAAGTGGTATGTAACTTCAGCTTACAGGATTTAGCTGTGTTGTATGGTGAAACTGTCTTCCATGTACATTGCAGTCACCATCTTTAGGGCGAATCAGGGAATAAAAGGATGTAACAAAATTTGTAGGTATGGAAGAGGGAGCAAGAGTTGGGGTAGGGCTGTACCATACTCGTAGCTCAGGCAGTTAGTCACTGGCTTCCCAGTATGGTGGATTCCAGGTCAGTTATGATTTGTGGTGGGCAAACCAAAATTGCACTGGCACAGGTTTTGTCAAAGCACCTCAGTTTCCCCTATCAATTATCATTTTGTTGAATGATCCATACTCATCTATCATCTGAGGCTGGTACACTAGGCCCACTAGTGGCTGGAATACCAAATGGACTTGGTCTCATTCCAAGTTATGAATAAAAGAAAGAAAGTGGCATGTAGCATGATGCACCAAAAATTTGTCACTAGAAGGATGTGACTGGTCAGATGATGTATGTGTAAGCCACTTAAGCAGTGCTGGAACAGTGACCTACTGAATGGGGGCCAGAGTTTGTTTGAGTATGGTCACAAAGAGAAAAATTAGTATCCCTGCTGGGAATCATACCCTAGTCATCTAGCTTACTGAGCTGTATTGACTAATCTATTGCTGTAATATGTGCATAAAATTCATAGAAGTTGGGAGATAGGCTCATGATGGAGCCCACTGAACTGTGTGGTTTTCTTGCATCTCAAACAAAATGTCTAGGGCTACAATTCAGAATTGGAGAGTTGCTTTGTAAGGAAATCATGCCCTTCAATCTTGACAATTGTGCCACATTGGGCTTCAGGCTCTGTTTAAAAAACTATTGTTCATTCGTGACAAGGATCAATGTCATTTAACTAAAAAAATAAGCATTACTAACATAAGACTGAATATGCCTGATACAAACGAAATTGAGATCCATATATATAACTGTCACCGTTTCAGTAATATTCTTGTAGTGCCATAGACTTCTTCAGAGACGGGTCTGCAGTACAACAGATTGTAAGACCCAGGAGTTCTCCTGAGAAAATCATAATACTTAAGTTTGTAAATGGACTTCTGATGAAAAAGATGGATAACTTTCAGTTGTCTGGAACAAATTTCTAAGTTGTTGTGATATTACATTACACCCTGTTATGTCCTTTTTCTGTCTTATTGAAGTTTACAAGATTATATTTCTCTTGAAAGAAAAACTGTTTATCTAATAAATTAAATGGAAGGAGTCATGAGTTTACTTGCATCCATAAAATCAGCAACAGATTTCTTTAATACTTGGAAGAAGACTTGAAGCATAATTGGAAGTCTATGGAAATTGTCTACTGTTAACTACTAATATCAGTGGTTCTCTGTCTTACTTTCCTTTGATGATTCATCTTCATAACCATTTATATTGTCTGAGATACACCGTCTCATAATATGTGGCCTACTTTAATTCTTAAAACTGAATATTGAAAAGAACAAATTTGCAGATTCAAATATTAGTATATTTGAAACTCATAGCAATTGTTTCATTTTACTAATGTAGGTTAAAAAATCTTGTAAATAAATTATTTTAATGAAAATATACTTGCAGAAATATTACAGTTTGTTTCAGCTGAATAAATATAACAGAAAATTTTAAAATATTTATTCTTTAAATGGCTGTATTATACCATATTTTCCTGAATATATTGCACATTTTCCCTCCAAAGTTCTGGAAACACTGACTACACATTTCTGTAAATAACACAATCAGTGGTAACTTGTAGTAAAATGTCTGATAACATTTAATATACTACCACAGTCAGTCAGTTCGTGGAGTGGCTTTGAACACTAAACCAAAAATCTTAAATTGAGGTAATTAACAGAAATAATTGAAATTGACAGAAAGTATTAAATTTAACTAAATGGGGGTTCCACACTAGTGTGGTATGTAGCCGATGACCGCTATAAATCAAAGAATTATTTGTTATGTAGTAATTAATCCTTCTTAGGTCCAAATATTTTCATGAGTAGTATGTGGTTAAACATGTGCAAATTAAGTGCGTATTATTTTCAGGCAAATATGGTACACATGGAGTAGCAATGTATCACATTATGCAACCATGTTCAATTTGTGTCCCTGTGTCATTTGAATAAAGCTGATTAAAATGATGTGTCATTCCACATTTTTTATGCTGTTGATGGCAGTTTTGCCTTTTATTCAAATAGAAGTGACCCGGTATTGTTAAGGATTTGGCACTGTTACTGTATAGACCGAGAACCACTGTGTACCCATGGCATCTGTATAAGCACAGTCTGTGTGCGTTATACAAGCAACTTTTTTGCGAAATTTTCCATAGTATACATAAGAGCAGGAGGTTCAGAACTGCACCTTGTTACATATAACATGCTGCTCGGAATTCTGTGTGAAGGATCTCTAAAATAGGCAGACAAATCTATTTAAGTAGGATGCGAATACCATAAATGGGAATTATGGAAGTTGTTTCTGTGCATTTTGTCATTAATGTAAAACACTCTTTATGAGCCTTGGAATCACCCACTCATGGAGCTGAGCCCTTCTTGAGAAGCCGCAAAATGTGCAGCTACTCAAGAATTTCCCAGCATTTTATGGAACCCGAAGGTTCATTACCTTGTTCACAAGAGCCCTCCACTGGTCCCTATTCTGAGCCAGATCAGTCCAATCCATCCCATCTCTCTAAGATCCTTTTTAATATTGTCCACCCACCTATGCCTTCGTCTTCCCAGTGGTCTCTTTCCTTCTGGCTTTCCCACCAATGTACTACACGCATTCCTCTTCCCCCCATTCATGCTACATGCCCTGCCCACCTCATCTTCCTTGACTTGATCATTCTAATTATACTTCGAGAAGAGTACAAGTTATGAAGCTCCTCATGATGCAGTTTTCTCCAACTTCCTGTCACTTAATCTCTCTTTGGTCCAAATATTCTCCTCAACACCCCGTTCTCAAAAACCCGTAGTCTGTGTTCTTCCCTTAATATCAGAGACAAAGTTTCACACCCATACAGAACCACAGGCAAAATTATAGTTTTGTACATTCTAATTTCTATGTTTTTTGGACAGCAGATGCGAAGACAGAAGGTTCTGGACTGAATGGTAGCAAGCATTACCCGAGTTAAATCCCCTCTTAATTTTCTCCTGAATCAAGTTTTGATTTGTTATTGTCGTTCCCAAATATCTGAACTATGCCACATTTTCAAAACATCTGTTCCCTATCTTTATGTCATGAGTTAGCCCTGAATTTTGGTGATGAGACAGCAACATATACTTAGTTTTCTATATGTTTACTTCTAGACCAACCTCCTTCTATGAGCCTTGGAATACAAAGTAAAACATTACAGGTGGTGTAAATCTTAACACACCACCCTTACCACTATACAGGTGGCATAACTCTTAACACACCACCCTTACCACTATACAGGTGGCATAACTCTTAACACACCACCCTTACCACTATACAGGTGGCATAACTCTTAACACACCACCCTTACCACTATACAGGTGGCATAACTCTTAACACACCACCCTTACCACTATACAGGTGGCATAACTCTTAACACACCACCCTTACCACTATACAGGTGGCATAACTCTTAACACACCACCCTTACCACTATACAGGTGGCATAACTCTTAACACACCACCCTTACCACTATACAGGTGGCATAACTCTTAACACACCACCCTTACCACTATACAGGTGGCATAACTCTTAACACACCACCCTTACCACTATACAGGTGGCATAACTCTTAACACACCACCCTTACCACTATACAGGTGGCATAACTCTTAACACACCACCCTTACCACTATACAGGTGGCATAACTCTTAACACACCACCCTTACCACTATACAGGTGGCATAACTCTTAACACACCACCCTTACCACTATACAGGTGGCATAACTCTTAACACACCACCCTTACCACTATACAGGTGGCATAACTCTTAACACACCACCCTTACCACTATACAGGTTGCATAACTCTTAACACACCACCCTTACCACTATACAGGTTGCATAACTCTTAACACACCACCCTTACCACTATACAGGTTGCATAACTCTTAACACACCACCCTTACCACTGTGTGTACCATGCAATTGAAACCCATATTGCTGTCTGCACATACGCTGTATTCCCGTGAAAGTTGGTTAGAGCCGAAGGCATAGGAGAGTGTGTGTGTAACAATATGCCCATCCTGTCAATATGATAGCAGTAGGTCATATTGTTAATTACTGCCCTAGCAAGTATGAAATCTGAAATTATTCGTTGTTTATCCTCCACATAATTGTCAGAACCGATATATTTAATACATGCTTTAATATGGCTTCAAACAACAGAATGTATGCACAAAAAGTCACATCCTAATACATCAATAAAAGATGAACCAAATATTATATACCTTTCTTCTCTCAGGCTTATTATTTCTATTATTGCAATTCTAGGTTGTGATAATGACCATATCATCTACAATTACAATCATACTTGCTATTCCTGTATCGTGAAGGTAAAGTCCCTGTGCTTAATTGAGCACCATATTGTGAAGATGTATTATTGAACTGATGTGTGGCTTCATGTGTTCTTGAACACAAGATGGGACTGAGCATTCAGCTTGACTCCCAAGCTACCTTACCACAAAGGATAAGCCACCAGTACCATTGAATAGGAGGGTGGATGAATCCCACAGTCAGTCTGGTTGCAGTTTCAAGGACAGAATCTGTGTCCCTGCTGGGAATTGAATCCCAGTTGTTCAGCCCTTAGTCAATCACTTCACTGACTGAGGTATTCCAACTTGTATGTTAGGGCACATTTAATTCACTATTAAGTTCCTGTTTATGATAGAGAAACAACCCATTAAAATCAACAGGACAAAAAGAGATATTGATACAAACCTCATCTCAATTATAAGTTATTGAATTCCAAAGAAAGTTGCTTCTTACCCCCAAAATATTAATACAACTCTGAATGAAATCATAAAGTTGAAATGGTGAAGTTTACAGGGTTGTTATAACTTAATAAATGGCAATTTAACTTACATATATGTAGGCAGTAACATCATCATTATTCAAGAACAGTGAAGGAAATTTGTGGACACTGCCCGTAATATCTACTACAAATTACATTTAAGTATAGAAATTATGTTGCTGACCATATCAGTAAAGAAGCTTTTGAGTCTTGATGGAGAGGTTAAAACTTATCCAAATGTAGGCTTTAAACAGCATCAGAAATGAGGAACAAAGCTAAAATTTCCCAATAGAACTTGAAGTAATATGTACAAAGTGTATCATTGTTCCTAAAATTACTTAATAGGAGTCGCATATTGTTTACACATATGTAGTTTATGGTCTTCATGGAGATCTTTTGAATTCAAGCAATCATGAATATTAATAGTGTTGCTGTCACAGTGTGTTCACAATCATGGGCCAGTTGAGTTGTCTGGATTATACAAATTCTGCAGATGTTTTATAAACCTTTATAAAGAAATTCGGCAATAAATGTTAAATACACTTCACACAATAGTTGATCTGTTATCAGGGGCACAAAGTGGTGTAGTTGGTTGAAGCACTATGCTACAAGCTGGAAGATCATGGGTTCAGGTCCCTATGAGGTGGATTTTTTTTTTCAATTTGCCTAATCCTTCGTGTAGACCTTTATGGCTTGATACAGGGATAACTTTTACCTTTATATTATCAGGATCACAGAATATAATACTAGACAATAAAAAAACTGTTTACACATAGTGAGCTGCTGTATGCATTGTGAGACTTGAAATTAGTAACAGTATTGTCTATGAGGATTCTGCCTTGTTGGATATCATGTTGTGTAGTCTGGTAGATCCAATTATGTGCCAGACTACTCCATGGCATTTATGCTGAAGACTGAGGCAGCATATTCATCAGAAACATTGATAAAATTTACCAGACTATATGGTGCCCCATTCCAGAAGAATGCACTCTGCCATGTATTTCTTCAGTAGTGAATGGGATTATTACAATTTGGTTCTGCTGGATGCTATGTGTTAAGTGTATTGCTATGGTAATCCTCTGTTGAATAAATGTATTGAAGCCTCTAACTTCTGCTTTTGCTGGTTTCTTGCTTGGCTTATTCTATGACTCTGAAGGTTGATGCAGTAACCATCTCCACAATGTCATGGTTCCTCTGAATTACACAATCTTACAACCCAAATGACCATGCTCTTTGTAGTAACTTAT